GCCTTTTCTGTTCCCCAATCACATCACTGACAGCTGTTCAGCGTTAGCAGATTTTGTTGCTGCTGCCTAAAGCAGAAGACACTTGTAAAACCAGAAATCCAAACACAGGTCAGAATTAGGCCAATGTGGGACTTCCCTGGTGGTCCAGTGGTTGAGACTCTGCCTTTCAACGCAGGGTGTGCAGGTTCGATCCCTGGTCGGAGAGCTAAGATCCCACATGCCTCAAGGTCAAAAAAACAAAAACACAAAAAAAGAAGCAATCCTGTGACAAACTCAATAAAGACTTTAAAAACAGTTCACATTTTTAAAAAAATCTTTAAAAAAAATTAGCGCAAAGTGGTGTCATTAGTGGTAAAGAATCCACCCGCCAATGCAGGAGACGTAAGAGATGTGGGTTTGATCCCTGGGGTGGGAAGATCCCCTGGAGGAGGAAATGGCAACCCACTCCCGTATTCTTGCCTGGAAAATTCCATGGACAAAGGAGCCTGGTGGTCTACAGTCTATGGGGTCCCAGGGAGTTGGACACAGCACTGAGTGACTAAGTACACAGGTAATTAAAGGGTATGTGTGTGTGTGTGTGTGTGTGTATTTAATTTACCATATCTATCTATTTCAACATCATGAGACCTGACGCAGAAGAATCCAGCTATTTTATGAGACTGACAGAAGCTGTAAGATTATAAATAAGCATTGTTTTAAGTCACTACATTTGTGACAATTTGTTAGGAAGCAAAAGAAAACTAATATAATAGCTGAGGCAATTTAAACAACCTCCAAAGCAAAACAATTATTCACTCTGGGCATGAGAGCACACGACTATTTAAAAGCAGTCTTCGTCTAGGTAGGTCTTAGCCATGCCTGCAGATCCCTTAACACCACCCTTGGGAGGTCTGTGTCCCCCCCACTCCCTGCAGCACTCCCCTGCTGAACCCCAGCCAGCCTTGATGCCCGCTCATAACCACAGAATGAGGTAGAACACTCCCTCTAGAACCCATTTTACGAGAGCTTGACAACTGGGTTTCTGGGTGAAGCGCAGCGTTTCCACTTTCCGTTTGCTAATTATAGATTTTCCATTTACTGTGTGTCCCTTGTCGATAGATCATCCCTAGGGACTTCAAGGCAAGGAGGAGTGACTGAAGGGAAGCAGAATTCGACCATTTGCTGGACTCACCAAACTACACCATTAACCTCTGACACACACTGGTCAAAATAACAGCATCAGTCAGCAGTCACTGTGACCCAGGAAGGTGGAATACTTAAATATTTAAAGACAGGGAGGATTGTCCATGACTGCTTGAAAACATATCTCTTATTCCATTTTATACCCTGCAAAGTTCTACTGAATTGACTTGTTATAAAATTCTAAGCAGTCCACCCAACATTTTAGTCTCTGCATTTCTAGTTCAACAAACTTGAGAAACAACATTTGGATGAGTCAAGAAATTTCCTGAAAATAATTCAACAAAAAAGTCTTCTCATACCCCAAATAAACTTTCATTTTATTCGTTAAAATCAACAAATATTTATGGATAAGGTTATGAAAACATAAGTACCTAACTAAAAAAGGCAGAAAATAGTAAATTCCAGGAAAAGGTACAACAGGAGACACTGCATGCAGTTGAAGGTCCAAGAAAGAGTTGTACAAACAATTTGAATAACCTCTCCCAAACCCAGGCTTTCCAAGTCCCTTTATACAGTTCAACACCCTAGGCCTTGAATTCACCAGAAGTTACTTTCAAATCTTAAATTTTGGAACCCTCTTTCACATTAAACTCTAGATCCTGGTCAGGGAGACACTCCTATCTGCAACCATCACTTTGAGTCTCCATGGAGGGGAGAAGACTCTGGTTCACTCCTCAGGGAAGGCAAGTGGTTAATCTGATAGCTTAATTACCCCACCCCACCTCCCCTTCAGAGGAAGGAAGACTAAGCAACATTTTGCCCTTGAGCCTCCAACGACTTATCGGAAGCTCTGTATTTACTGGTTACTGGATCCTGTTCAGCCATTAATAAAGTCATCCCTTATTCCTTACACTCTATACTCAAAACCAGAACACAGAGGAGGAAGAGGGATGAGTTACTGATCCCTGAAATCCAACAGCCCCTTTATCTTTCTCTCCAATATGCCCTGCGTGCGCGCTAAGTCGCTCAGTCATGTCTGGCTCTGTGAATCCATAGACTGTAGCCCGCCAGGCTCCTCTGTCCACGGGATTCTCCAGGCAAGAACACTGGAGTGGGTTGCCATGCCCTCCTCCCGGGGATCTTCCCAACCGAGGGATCGAACCAAGGTCTCATTATGTTTCCTGCATCAGCAGGTGGGTTCATTACCACTATTCTCACCTGGGAAGCCCTCCAGTGTACCCTAGAAGTCATCAATCCTGGGCTTTACTCCATCTCACAGAGAACTCTGCTGGCCTAGGAATTAAGAACATTTCTAAACTTAATCTCCAATCTTTGGTAGACACTCTCTACTACCTAGTAATCTTCTACTAGTCTCTGTTCAGTTTTAATTCTCATTTTCTACAGTAGCTCTTGAAAACCCTCCTGAACTCTTATTCATAGTATATATACTTATCTTCAATTTCACTGGGAAAATAGTAGTGTTTGGTTTTGAAATATATGAACTTCCTAACCACACCTTTACTTCCATAACCTTTCTGTGTCGGCTTGCCTGGTTTTGTTAGATGATTATTTGAAGACATTCTTTATATATTTTTCTTTAAATTCAAAGTTTTTTATTTTAATGAAGTGTATTCTCTCTATGGTCATTGTTTTCTGACCTGTTTAAGAATTCACTATATCTTATATTTATATTAAACATTAAATTTCAAAAAAAAAAAACCCAACTTTCTGTGTCTTGTTCAAGGCTTATCTTTTTTTTTTTTTAAATTGGGGTAAACAATTTACCCCTGCTCTACAACATTGTATAACAAAGTGAATCAGCTATATGCACACATATACCCCCTCTTCCAGGGCCCTTCCTCCCAAACCCCAGAACAGGTCACCACAGAACACCAGGCTGAACTCTGTGCTGTAGGGCAGGTTCAGTATTCTTGCTGGAGAATTTCATGGACAGAGAAGCCTGGTGGGCTACCATCCATGGGGTCGCAGAGAGTCAGACACGACTGAGCGACTAACACTTTCACTGTTCCAGCTATTCATTTTAAAGGCTAACCTCTAACCTTTGTTCTGGGTCCCCTGTCTTTACTCGGCAAATACACTCCATCAATTACGCGTTCTCGCTCCTGAAGCTTCAAACTTTTGATCTAACACTTCTGTCCTTTGTGGTACAGACAGGCTCAAAACCCAGGTTTAAAAAACAAAGCGAAAGATCTACCACTACAACAGCAACAACACAACCAGAACTGCCTCTTGGAACCTGAAAGTTCTTGTTGCTCTGAGTCAGCTCCTTCTTTTAACAGCCCGGCTGTGGGATCAGGAATCTGTGCTAATTCCCTCTGCCTTTCCACTCGGCGTCCCCGTGCGCCTCGTGCACACGACCCTCCACTGCAACTGCTCCCACCAGTGTGACCGGATGGCCTGCCCTGTCTCCACATCCACCAGACACTCTTCCTTTCTTCTTGGACTTGACCTCTAAGCATTTGATGTGCGACAACTTCCGCCTTAAAACTCCCTTCCACCGGCTTTTCATAACATCGCTGCCTCCTACTGTTCCTTCTAGACTTCAGAATGCTCTCTCTCAGTCTTCAGTGGTCAAACCTTACATTGTTAAGTTTTTCCCAGGATGCTATTCTTGGCTGTCCTCTCTCTTCTCAAACTCAGTGGTCCCTGGGGAGGGGAGAGGAGGAGGGATGTTTGCAGCATGAATTATCTCTCACGCCCATAAATCAATCAGACTAAATCTGAACTCTTTTGCTTCCTCTCCATCCCCAGTCCTACCTTCCAGTGCTCACCTCCATCATGGCACTGCCCTGCATCTGTCTGTCCTCCCTGCCCTGCGTGCCCAGGGTGCCCTGCGTGCCCAGGGCATGAACACAACGCACTGCTGACTGTGGTGGTGGCTTCCCAGAAGAGGGGCTGGGAGGGTGGATGGCGACAGGACCCAGAAAGACCACCTGAGTGGGCCTAAGGATGTGGCTGCACAAAGTATCCCAGATGAACTTCACTCAATTATACTGTGCATATCTTCAGCAGAGTGGTATATATAAATATATGTATTTTCATCTCTGAATCTCGTTTATTATGTTTATTAGTTTCTGGCACAGGGTAGATTCTCAATTCATAATTAATTCGTATTTTTGTAATCAAAGAAGTAGAAAAAGAATAGGATATCTGACATAAGTTTTGAAGCGTTTGCAGAATTTCAAAAGCGACAGATACAGGAGGCATCATTTAAGTCAGAGGGAACAGAAAAAGCATTAGGCTCAGAAAGAAATGCTAGACAGGTGGAACGTATATGGACAATTATCAGCAACACTAGAATGCAGAGGCAGGATTTTATAGGACTTTATAATGGAGTTATAGATGCAACCTAAGTCTATGAGGTCTTTGAAGCAACATGATTTGCAATTGGAAAAAAAAATTAACTGGAACTGAGGACTCTTCTTTAAATAGCTGCCAAATGAATTACTTAAGTGAAAAGAAATGACGGTCTAAACTTTAGCAACTGGAGTAACTGAAGAAAAAGAGAAAATACTGTTTTTAAGACTGAATGTAAAAAACAAATGTTGTGAATATTCAAGAACAACATTTAGTTGAACTATTATATTTAAAGGGGTGAAAAATTTAAAGCACTAAAATTAAAAAGTCTAAATAGATTTACGTTTTAAATACACATTTAATGGGTTGGTTTATTGACCCAAACAATCATGAATGGTTCTGGGTGTTAGAATCTACAATGTACTAATCAAGTTTATTGTGTTGGTAAGAACTCCAACACGCAGGACAGACAGCTGGCAACTGAGCAGGGCATTCAGTATAAGCTTTGGAAAGGTTTTTCGATAACGTTCGAAGAGGGAGTTAGCAGAAAAGAACCATACCGTGAAGCTGTTGTTAGCATTTTTTGTGCTTGCTTCAGCTACACTGGCATCTGAGAGGTCAACTTCATCAAATATCAGAGACTGTTAATGAAAAAGAACACAAACATATTATGTGAAAACCTAACTCAGTGTTCCTATATATATATATATGTATATATATATATTTATTTTTTACCATGAGGTCATGACCATGAAGCTATGTCAGGAATTAGAAATAAAAAATGATGAAAAACTTAAGTTAGTGATACTTTGTGGGTTAAACCATAAAGTTCAACAAACACATAAATTTCAAACTGTACAGGACTTTAGAGAAGCTCCCCAGTACACAGTTTCATTGCAAAACGCTCTGTGCTGTCCAGAAGCATCGTTTATGGGGAACCTACTAAGTGTGTGACATGCACACCTACTCACACACCCCACAATTGAAAGAACTAGTCCTGGCTCAGATCATGGCCAGTTACCGAACTTTCTGAATGTGACTGTCCTCATCTGTAAATGTGTTCTAGTGAGATGGTGCATATGCTCTGCAAACATAAGGCGACTTCCTTTATATACTTTTCTAAGTTTTATTTATTTATATTCTTTTTTTGGCCCAGTTCAAACACATTTTTTTTTAGGCTGAAAAGCATTTTAATCAAAAAAGTTTCAGTGTTTAAAAACTCCACAGAATTAAAATCTTTAAAAATGGACAACTGAGAGATTAGGAAATTCTAGTCAATACATGTATCCTTCCTACTTTCAGTCAGCTGGTCCTTGTTCACAGTCCTTCAGTGTACTTCCAGGGAGGTTGGTATAACACCGCTCCTCTAGAACTACAGAAAAAAGGGCTCCCTTATCTAATTTAAGTTTCCACCACTCCCCAAGATCTCCAGGGTGTAATGCAACTCTACTTCAAGCCAACCAATCTGACCATAAGACTTGTTCCCTCACTAGACAGAATTTATAATCTAGCACGGGAACTGAAAGAGATACAAGTAGTTTTAAGTAACGTAGACTATTAAATGTGGAAGAGGAGATACGCAAAATACTATGGAAGGTCATAGATAATTTCTCCAGCAGAAAACAAACTCTTTCTCTTGTGTATACTGGAATAAAGACAATTTTAGAGGGATCTTAAAGAAAACAGGGAATTTCTTCAAGTGGAGATAGAGGGAAAATCGTCTTGGAGATGGAAAATATAGGGCAGGGCTGTAGGTGATCAAATTGTCAGTGTTGTCTGGAGATAAATATGAGGGGTCAGGATGGAGCCAGATCAGGGTTTGACTATGAACATAATGACTTTTAGAATAAGATTATTTTATTTTGTTATTATTTCCATAGCTGCATAAGCTAAGAATTAGGTTTGTTTGCTTATTTATTTTTTACTTTCTGGTGTATAACTCTACTAATTATTATATCACAAACATATTTTTAATATAAAAATTATCAATTATCTTACTGGTACAGTAATAATAAATCTCACTATTTTTTAACTGAAGTATAGTTGATATACACTATTATGTTAGTTTCAAGAGTACAACATAGTAATTTGACAACCAAATACATCATCAAATGATTTCCATAAGCCTAGTAACCATGTCAACATATAAAATTATTACAATATTATTAATTATATTTCCTTTACTGCATATTAAACTCACATGACATTTATTTTTATAACTGCAAGTCTGGATCTCTTAATCCTCTTCACCTACTTCACGAACCTCACATACCCCTCCCCTCTGTCAACCACCCATTTGTTCTCTGTATCCATAAGTCTCTCTGTTTGGGTTTGTTTGTTCATTTGTTTTTTTAGATTTCACATATAATTTACAGATTCCACATATAAGTTACAGATTCCACATATCATTTACAGATTCCACATATAATTGAAATTGTATGGTATTTGTCTTTCTCTGTCTAACTTATTTCACTTAGCATAATACCTTCTATATTCATCCATGTTTTTGCAAATGTCAAGATTGTTATCCCGTATTTCTTTTCATTTCTATTTGCATGGCTGAAAACTTTCCTAACCTGGCAAAGGACACAGGTATCCAGGGCCAGGAAGTACAGAAAGACTGAAACAAAGTGAACCCAATGAGACCCACACCAAGACACATTATAATTAAAATGCTAAAGTGTTAAACTAAAGAGAGAATCTTAAAAGCATCAAGAGAAAAACAACTAGTTACATACATGGACGCTCCATAACACTACAGAAGGGAGTGGCATGATACAGTCAAAGCCCTGGAAGGAGAAAATCTGACCAAGAATACTATACCCAGCAAAGTCATAAATCAGAATTGAGAGACAGTTTCCCAAGCAAGCAACAGTTTGTCTACACTGTGGCTCATCACCATTGTACCAGTCTCACAAGAAATGTTAAAGGAATTTAAACAGAAAAGAAAAATTATAACTAGAAATACAAAAATTGTGAAAGAAAATATCTCACCAGTAAAGGCAAAAATGTAGTAAAGGTAATAGATAAAAGCTATGAGTGCTTTCCAGGGGGTGCTAGTGTTAAAAAAACCCACCTGCCAGTGCAGGAGACATGTGAAGGTTAAAAGACAAAACCAGTAAAATCATATATTTCTACAGTAATTAGTTACGGAATACACAAAGTAAAATAACATCAAAAACATAAAATGTTGACTGGAGTAAAAATGTAGTGCTTTTAGAACATGTTCAAACTTAAGCAACTATCAACTTAAAATAGACTGCAATATAGAGTGTGATATAAGCAGTAACCACAAACCAAAAACTGATAATATAGCTTTGGTCAAAAAGTTCTTTTGGGTTTTTCTGCAGGATGCTAGAGAAAACAATACACAAATAATAAAAAGAAAAGAATATAAATGTAATACTAGAGAAAGTCATGGAATCCCAAGGGAAGAAAGCAAGAGAAGAAAGGAACAGAAAACAACAAAAATAGCCAGAAAACAGTTAACAGAATGGCAGGAAGCACATGCCCATTGATTATCACATGCCCATCGATCATCACTTTAACTGTAAATGGACTGAATACTCCAACCAGAAAACACAGGGTACCTGAACAGATACAAACACAAGACCCATATACATGCTGTCTGCAAGAGACTTACTTTAGATCTAAAATCACACATGGACCAGAAGCGCACAGACAGAAAAGCTATTCCACACATGCATAAATGAAAAGGAATATGGGATAGCACACTTATACCAGACAAAATGATTTTAAAGCAAAGACTGTAACAAGAGACAAAGAAAGGCACTACCTAGTGAGAAAGGGATCAATCCAACAAGAAAATGTGACACTAGTTAATACATATATACCCAACACAGGAGCACCTGGATCCATAAAGCCAATATTAAAAGACACAATGGCAGAAACCCGATAGTAATACAGTAATAGCAGGCGACTTACGTCAGTAGATAGATCATTCAGACAGAAATCAATAAGGAAAACCATCAGCCTTAGGCTGGGGCTTCGCAGGTGGTGCGAAGCCTTAGGTTAGCAAAATTTTTCAGCCATTATTTCTTCAAATGGGTTTTCTGTCCTTCTCACTCTCTTCCCCTCTGGGACTCCAATAATGTGAATCTTAGCACACTTGATGTTGCCCAAGAGGTCCTTTAAGCTAGTTCCATTTCTTGGTTTCTTTTTTCTTTTTGCTGTTCCGATTGGGTGAATTCCACTAACTTATCTTCTAGATCATTGGTCCTTTCTTCTGAATTATCTAATATGTTGCTGGCTTCCTCTAGTGTATTTTTCATTTCCATTATTGTATTCTTCAGTTCTGATTTTTTTTTAATATTTTCTATCTCTGTTGAAATTCTCACTTTTCTATTCTACTGAGTTCAGTGAGTTATCTTTATGATCATTACTTTGAACAATTTATCTGGAAGGTTGCTTATCTCCATTTCATTCAATCTATTTCTGAGTGTTTTCATCTTCTTATTTTGTTTGGAACATATTCCTTTGTTTCTTCATTTTGCCTAACTTTGTGTTTTTACCTACATATTGGGTAGACCAGCTTTGCCTCCTGGTCTCGAGAGAGTGGTTTTGTATAGTATGGCTGGTCCCCGTAACGTGGTCTTTGGATGCTCAAGGAGTGTCCCCTTGGTGGGTGGCATCTGATATCCTGTTGCAGCTTGGCTGTACTTTCTGAGGATGTGCTTGTATGCAGGGTTGGACCCCAGTGTGGCTGACTGAAAGGCCCAACTGCAACTGTGATGGATGCTCTGATGTGTGGGGACGACCCCTGGGGCAGGAGACACTTTGAGGCAACATGAGTGATGGCCAAAGGGGTCTGCCAGGCCTGCAAGGATAGGGGACCACTTTGGTGAGGCTCCAGTGTCTACTGCGAGCACCCATCTTAATTTTATTTTTGAAGGAATAGTAAAGTATCAGTTTTAAGTGGAAGCTCATCATCATCATTTTTTCTTCCAAAGCCACATCATTCTTATTTCATTCAATTATTTTATAAAAATTATTTAAGCCTTGATTTTATTTCACTATGATTTTTATTTCTAACTGCTAGACTAACTCAATGCTTTGAGCTTGGTATTATATGAGCACTTCATTTTCATTATTTAAGGCTCCTCTCAACAATATGCTGTTCACTGTCACTCCACTGGAATATGTAAGAATTGGGATATGAACTCTTGTCTGAAACAAGAGTATGAATTCTTAGCAACTATAGCAAATCCTCTCTCATGTTCAGGAAAAGATTTATAAGGTAAAAATTAGCAAGAAAGGGGGGAATTCAAGTTTAGACTTTATTATATCTAATAAAGTTACATTTAACTGTTCATCTTAATTGGAAGGAAAAAAGAAAGAAAACTACACTAGAACTTGCCCTAAGATTGTCCATAGGGGACATTACATGAAATTGACTCAAATAGACCCCCTTGCAATCTGGTCCAAGATGAATCATATTTATATTGAATTAGACCATTAATGCTATATGAAGCCCCAAGACAAAGACAGTTTACAGAACCATCTACAGCCCTCAAATGCTTGCAACTAGCATTCTCTCAAATTACCTTTGAGTCCTTTGCATAATAAAGTGTACGACCACGAAGTTTGAAGTATCGCTTTTTCCACCTTTGGAAAGAACTGGTTTGCTTCAACAGCTGTCCCTCTTTAACACTGGTCTAGGGAGAAGCAGAAGCACAACAACATGATTAAAATGAAATCCAAAGCCAAATAACATTCAAAATTAATGACACACTATCATTAACATTTTGAATATTATTTCTCATGTTTTGAAAATTACAGGAGAAAATATTTTACTCTCACCACTCAACCATGGAAACACATGTGCAAAGCTCCAAGTAGCAAAGGTGAATCTGACACGCCCTCAAAGCAGTCACAAGCAGTATGGAAGATACATGCACAAAATATGAATACATGTACCTATACAAGTGTGTATATATATATATATATATACACACACATACTTACACATAGTAAAGATTTAATAAATGATGGAAGGGTACCTATACAAGTACCTATACAAGTGTATAGGTATATATATATATATATATATATATATATACATATACACACTTACATATAGTAAAAATTTAATAACTGATGGAAGGGTACCTATACAAGTACCTATACAAGTGTAAGGTGTATATATATATATATATATATATATATATACACACACACACACACACACTTATATAGAGTAAAAATTTAATAAATGATGGAAGGGTAGATGTACAGTAAATGCAATGGTTAAGAAGGCATGAGCTCTGGAGCCAGAAACACTGTGATCACCTCTTGGTGACACCGCTGAGTAGCTGGATGATCTTAAGCAAATCAATAAACATCTTCTGCCTTTAATTATTCATCTACAAAATGAAGTTGACAACAAGACATACCTTTCTGGGCTGTTGTTGTCAAGCATAAATCTTTAAAACATGTAAAGGATTTATTGCATGGCACACAGGAAGTGCTCATTAAATGTCAGTTATCATCAACTATGTGTTACTGTAACAAACACATACACAAAGTATGGTGCATGGCAGCTCAAAAAAGAAAGCTCTGCCTCAGAGGGAGTCAAAGATGTCATCCTCCCAGAGGATAGCCTTAGGTAGGTCTTGAAGGAGTCTATCAGAATGATAAGGAAGGGTTTTTTGTTGCTGTTCGGTTGCTAAGTCCTGTCCAATCTTTATGACCCCCCATGGACCGCAGCACACCAGCCTCCCCTGTCCTTCACACTTCCCCAGAGTTTGCTCAAGTTTATGTCCATCGAGTTAGTGGCTGTCTAACCATCTCATCCTCTGTCGCCCCTTTCTCCCTTTGCCTTCAATCTTTCCCAGCATCAGGGTCTTTTCTGATGAGTCAGTTCTTCGCACCAGGTGACCAAAGCATTGGCGTTTCGGCATCAGTCTTTCTAATGAATATTCAGGGTTGATTTCCTTTAGGATTGACTGGTTTGATCTCCTTGCAATCCAAGGGACTCTCAAGAGTCTTCTCCAAAACCATAGTTCAAAAGCATCATTCTTCAGCGCTCTTCTTTATAGTCCAACTCTCACATCCATACACAACTACTGGAAAAACCATAGCTTTGACTAGATGGACCTTTGTTGGCAAAATAATGTCTCTGCTTTTTAATAAACTGTCTAGGTTTGTCATAGCGTTTCTTCCAAGGAGCAAGAGTCTTTTAATTTCATGGCTGCAGTCTCTGTCCATACTGATTCTGGAGCCCAGAAAAATAAAATCTGTTACTGCTAAACTTCTTCCCTTTCTATCTGCCATGAAGTGATGGGACCAGATGCCATGATCTTAGTTTTCTGAATGTTGAGTCTCGAGCCAGCTTTTTCACTCTCTTCTTTCACCCTCATGAAGAGGCTCTTTAGTTCCTCTTCACTTTCTGCCATTAGAGTGGTATCATCTGCTTAACTGAGGTTGTTGATATTTCTCCCAGCAATCTTGATTCCAACTTGTGCTTCATCCAGCATGGCATTTCACATGACGCATTCTAGATAGAAGTTAAATAAGAAGAGTGACAATATACAGCCTTGTCCATATTCCCGTCTCAATTTTGAACCAGTCCATTATTCCATGTCCAGTTCCAACTGTTGCTTCTTGAGCTGCATACAGGTTTCTCAGGAGACAGGTAAGGTGGTCTAGAATTTTCCACATTTTGCTGTGATCCTCATGTCAAAGGCTTTAGCATAGTCAATGAAGGGGAAGTAGATGTTTTCTTGAACTCTCTTGCTTTCCCCATGATCCAATGAATGTTGGCAATTTGATCTCTGGTTCCTCTGCCTTTTCTAAATCCAGCTTCTACATCTGGAAGCTCTCAAGTTCTTATATGCTGCTGAAGCCTAGCTTGAAGGATTTTGAGCATAACCTTGCTAGCATGTGAAATGAGCACAACTGTATGGTAGTCTAAACATTCTTTTGCATTGCTCTTCTTTGGGATTGGAATGAAAACTGACCTGTTCCAGTCCTGCGGTCACTGCTGAGTTTTCCAAACATATTTTAGGTGTGTGCAAAAGTAGAAAAGTTTAAATCAGCACAGATATTTGGGGGATCTTCATAGAATTTTTGGTTATAAACACAGGGTAGGGCTTTCAACAGGGAGCAACAAGAGATGTGGCTGGAAGAGGTGGGCAGGGCTTCTATGATTCTTGGCTACACCTTGCGCTACGTGCTTTATGTGTATACCGGTTCATTTTATTGCCACCAACAACATCCTTGGAACCCCTCTGACTTCATCTAGTATGTCTCCTTCACTTGGTCACCTTCCCTCCTTCACAACAGCACTCTGCTCTTAAGTAGGCATACATGCACGACCTTCAGGACTTAGCACCACCTATTCTTTCCTTCTCTAGGAAAGAACAGGTTCTACCCTCAAATATCCATCTGATAAACTCCCTCATTTCTTTCAAGTCTCTGATCCTCTCGATGAGACCCACCTCACTAACCTATTTAACATACTCTTCATATTTCCCTCCATCCTGATCTTATTTACTTTCCCCACACAAAGTGCTTCCCATCTTGTAACATATAATGCAATGTGCATGCGTGAATGCTCAGTGGTGTCTGACTCTTTGTGACCCCTGGAACTGTAATCTGCCAGGCTCCTTTGTCCATGGAATTTTCCAGACAAGAATATAGGAGTGAGTTGTAATTTCCCACTCCAGGGAATCTTCCCTACTCAGGGATCGAACCCTGGTCTCCTGTGTCCCCTGCATTAACAGGTGGATTCCTTACTGCTGCGCCACCTGGGAAGTCCATTATATAATGTAATTTACTATATTTATTGTGTTCATCCACTCCAGTATTTTTGGGCTTCCCTTGTGACTCAGCTGGTAAAGAATTCTCCTGAAATGCAGGAGACCTGTGTTTGATCCCTGGGTTGGGAAGATCACCTGGAGAAGGGAAAGGCTACCCACTCCAGTATTCTGGCCTGGAGAGTCCATGGGGTCACGAAGAGTCAGACACGACTAAGCAACTTTCACTTTCAATTCACTTTCATGATATGGAAGTCTGTATGAATGAATAGAAGATGCTGAGATTAAACTCATGTTTGTTTGACTCCAGAGTTTATTTCCAACTTTTACACTATACTGTCTGTTATTATCAACAAAACATAAAATATTGAGAAAAGTTTATTTCCTCTAATAGGGTAGTTAGGTCACACTAATGTTTACTTTCAATTTCATTATAAGATTCCCTCTAGAGCTTGCTCTCAGATGGTCCTCCAGGAATTGTGAGAGCATTAAAGTTTAATAATAACAAAACATTTTCATATCTTCAGTACCAAAGAGCCCGACTTAGAATCAGACAGACAGGCTTCAAGCCAGGCTCCACTACAACACTACCAATACAAATCTGGGCAAGTTACTTCAGTTCTCTGTGCTCCCATTTCCTCCCCTAAAATCCAGGCATAATAACGCCAACTTCACAAGCTGGTTGCATCTAATCTAATGATAAGATAATGGCTCAAGAGCACTTAGCACACCATCTGGATTACAGAAAATATTTAATAAATGGCAGAAAGTGTTACTATGATATCATGATGCTATTAAGTTCAGGGAGTATTTGCCAGGCACCAAATTATAAGAGCTTATTGGAAGAAGTGAGTAAGTGTTTGCAGGCCACTGTGAGAGCAAACAACAGCTGGAATGGAAGGAGAGTGTCAAGAGAAGAAGTGAAGGGAGCCAAGAGCCAGGAGATGGTGACCACAAGGGGAGTTTGCTTTTTTATTCTAAGTGCAAAAAGCTAGTGAGCTGTCTGAAGCAGAAGCCAGGGAAATGGGTGAGAAAGCAAGGGGAGAACCAATTTAGGAGGCGACTGCAGGAGTCCCAGGGAGAGACCAGGGAAGATGGAAGTAGGATGGTAGCATCACTGAGACGACAGAAGTAGCGGAAGTTGAGCTGTTAGTGTGGAGGCAGAATCTACTGGCCTTGCTGGCCTTACCTTCTTACTTTACCTTACCAGCCTTACCTTCTTGACATGAAGGGCAAGAGACAGAAAGGAACCAAGAGAAAGTGGAAGCACTTGGCTTGGGCAACTAGATGCAAAAGATTGAGAGAGTTCCATGTGCTAGACAAGAGGTCTTTGTTGGTTGCTCATTTTAAACACAGAAGTGTGTACACAACCATTGCAAAGTCTGCTCAGTGTTATGTGTCAGCCTGGATGGGAGAGGGTTGGGGAGAACAGCTACATGTGCATATGGCTGAGTCCCTTCGCGGTTCACCTGAAACTACCACAACACTGTTAATTGGCTAACCCCAATACAAAATGTTTTTGGTGTTAAAAAAATAATACAATGTCAAAAAAAAAAGACTGAGAGAGAAAGGGTAGGAATAAGGAAGAGTTAGGTGGTGAGCCGCCCTGCTGTAGCCCAGGGTAGAAAGCCTACATTCTTAAACCCAAACACAAAATCTTGAAATGCTAGAGAGATATAACTCACGCAGGGAACAAACCTCTTGGCAATTCAAAGGCTAAAACGTGGGTGTTTTCAGATTTTTGTGAAGTTGCTTAAGGCAATGAGGAAGAAAAATTAACTTTCAGTCTACTTATGTTCTATAAGGCTGTTTTTTTAGAAGCATAAATAACCTAATATTTCTTCTCCACATGTTTATTAAAGTAATTTTCTAAAATGAAAACATGATAACATTATGCC